ATCATACAATAGGAAGATACCTGCTATAATGCTAAAGATAATTTTGAGAATTCAGTAGCAAAAGATTTATACAAAACATATTCAGTGAATCATTAGAAAGCTGTACAAGGGCTTTTATAGTCACTTGGTTTTATAGGTATAGATGATAAATGCATTCTCTCTGATGATCAGATAAAAGTTATATTTGAGGCATCTCGTAAAAAATTTATAGAAATTCGAAGTCAATCTTTATTGTTCTTTGGCTTTAGGTCTTGTGCAAAAGAAATACCAGATCTTAAATCAGCTATAAAGGTAATCAACACAATTGTTGGTAATTGGTGTAGTTATACTGTAAAAAGTGAGTGAAAATTAGTAGGATCTAAAGGATAACAGATTTGAAAATATTCATACCAAATTAATCGAAAACTATATAATAGTTGTAGTTTTGATAATCAAGAAGAAGTAATGGCTAGAAAGTTAGATAATTCTGAATTTGCCCTATAGCTCTAGTTCTTTCATCATATAAGCCAAAGGTAAGTAATAAGATTCAGAATCTTTTTGAATATGTTGAGCATAAAATTTCTAACTCGTCTAATAGTATGATTGATGAAAAAGATTTACCTTTAGAAATACCAGCTCGAGATTAATCAATTGATTCAAATAAAATAAGTAAATATAGAGAGAATTATACTCAAAATATATATCATATCAATGCTACTATTAGTGAAGCTAGTACAGTTGAGAAAAAAATACCCGAATCTTTAACTCTCTATCTTCAGAATTTCTTATTAAAAATAAATCAGATATAGATATCCTTATCCTTCTTTTATAGCAAAAATTCCAAATGTCTGAAGAAAGATTAGAACAATAGTGAACTAAGATTACTTTTAAATTATAGGATAATTAAAATTACTGGAAAAAAGAGTACGAGAATATGAATGAAATCACTTTCTTAGATATAAATGAAATTTTGAGGCTAAAATGAAAGTTCCTACTACTCTACACAAAAAAGAGCTGAAAAATAAATCTTTAGCAATCATTGAATATGCATAATCATTATAAATCTTTCAATAAAGCAAGCATAAGGTACTAAGACAATATTATCTAGTTTTAGTAGTAATTTTTGGAGAAGAGAGATTGCTATATTTAACTAGTCAAGTAGAGAGTTTTTTTGTCGCCTCTTACAATAAATAAGAGAAAAAATTCAAATAAAAAATTAATATTCCAATACCTTGCCTTTTTGCAGTAACTGCTCAGGCATGTAAGTACTATTGTTCTATAATAAGCTAGAAATAATTAGATAATATATATAATAAACAAATTAGCTATATACATCTAGATACGAACTTGTGAGTGAGCAGGTCATATAAAGGGTTTTTGTGTTGTGCAATTTTGGATAAGCAACCAAATACTTATCAAAGAGAGTTTTTGTATTGCGAGGTTGTCATTATCTGATTTACATACCTACCTAGTTGAGATGAACAGTAAAATTCTAGATAAGTGCTCATATTATATGATATTACTATGAATCAAAATGATTGATATGTTATAGTTTTATTATTTTTTTGACATAACTCCTACATATAAGTTCTAGTTAATAACTATTTTTGTATCATATGATTTTAGTACTTTATATCAATTCAGTAATATACAAAGATTATTAAAAATGTAATATGCAAAAGTTATCAAAAATGTGATCTAATTTTTTGACATAATGTAAAAGTACTCGAAGATAGTAAATATATAAGAAAGAGTTTTAGAATCAAAAAATATAGCAAGCTTTTAGTAATATACAAAGGTTATCAAAAAAATAATATACAAAAATGATCAAATTTTTTAACATAAAGCAAAGTACTCAAACATAATTATATCAAAATTGTAATATACAAAAGTTATCAAAAATATAATCTAATTTTTTGGCATAATGTAAAAGTATTCAAAAGTACTAACTATATGAGAAAGAGTTCTAGAATCGAAAAATATAGCAAGCTTTCAGTAATATACAAAGGTAGAATAATATAAGAAAAAAGATAAGATAAATTTTTGCTTTTATGTATTACTAAGTAAGGATAACAATTCGGTACCTGAAGTGTGTTTTCAAGTATATCTTTATGATATTTATTCAATAATATATTTTGGGTATGTTTTCAGAGTAGCTATTTTCAGTAATATATTATAATAATTATAGGAGATAGCTACCTATTTTATTAATATATTTTCAAGTATATGATCATAGTAGCTAACTTCAGTAATATATTATAAGAAAAATGAAGTTGGCTACCTATTTTTTGATAGCACAAAATGTAATATACCAAAGTACTCAAAGACACTAACTATACGAGAAAGAGTTCTAGAGTTAAAAAATATAGCAAACCTTCAGTAATACGCAAAGTTAGAATATTATAAAAAAAGAAATAAGAAAAAATTATACTTTTACATATTACCAAGTAGAATATCATTTCGACACTATGTTCCAGAAAACTTACTTCTGATAACAAATCTAGTATTTATGAGCCAATAATGAAAATCTGCTACAACATATGATGATAATATCGTATTTTTGTCACTACTCAAATGATAGAGCTAATACTAATATATCTGACAATGCTAATTATATATAAATAGATAGTGAAAAAAAGTAGGACACTAAAGTAAAATTATTACAGATATATATATATAATAAAATTATGCTTTAGTAGATCATAATCAGAAGAAATTGGAGTTATACCACTGATGATAGTGAGGCATTTCTGTTATCATACCTGAGTAGGAATAACCTAGACTCTGATGATAGTAATACATTTCTGTCATCATATCTGAGTAGGAATAATCTAGACTCTAACAATGGGGATGCATTTCTGTCATCATATCTGAGTGGGAATAATCTAGATTCTAACGATGGTGATGTATTTCTGTCATCATATCACTGACAATAGTGATATATTTCTGTTGTCATACTTGAGTGAAAATAATCTAGACTAAGTGAAAATAACATAACTATGTTGTTTTCACTCAAGATCTAAAAAATTATTCAAATTTGTTAACAGTAGAATTTGAACTCCAGATTTATTGCATGATAGTTTGGTAACCTAACTACTATACTAAGATTACTAGACTTTATAAAGTAGTTTTTGTATAATAAAAATTAGCTAATATTAAAATATTTTAATAAAGTTTGTATAAGTAAGAAAATATATTAAAAAATAGAATATAATATTAATTAATAAATTTAGTTTAAATTATAAAAAAGGTTTAAAAAAATATTATGAATATTAGAAGAATTTTTTTTTTTTTAGCAATTATATTAATACTTTATTTAATCAAATTTTTGTCTATAACTAAAAACTCTATTTAGTATATTCTACTATCTAGTAATTAATTC